GTCGACGAAGGCTCCAAGCAAAAAGCCTTTATCAGCCACGTTCTACTTGCAGGTACCTGCAGCCGCTAGATATACTGTAAAGCCCTACCATCAATGACGAAAGACTTTGCTTGAAGGGTTCAGGCGAGGGCTTCAGCCGCTGTTGCTTTAGACTCGGTTCATTGTGGTTGCCTATAGGCTCTTCACTTCTCGCTTCCGAAGAACTTTTTCAGCGGTTTCAGTGGTTTCAGTAGTTTCAGTGCTTTCCTTTTTTTTCTGCATCAAAAAGTTCTCAAGGGAATAACCTCAATGCTCTCCGAAATTCCCAAGCGACTTTCCAGCACTCTCCTAATCCACCAGCGGTCTAGCGGCTGTTTGCCGGGTGCTGCCCTCTTTGGAGGCTGCCCCACCACTTCGTCGCGATGCCTCACGCCTGGCGGATCACACGTCGGATCCTATGACCGCTGTGAGAGAAGCAGGAAACGATTTTCCCGATCTCCCTAGCGAAACAGGGGTCCAAGTTGCATGGGCTCTGACTGACTGCTGGCCTGCGCAACACATTTCGCAAGAGGGCACTGGCGAACATGCAAGAGGGCCACAGGCAAGGCTGCATAATTCACAAAGCTTCAAAGCATTTGGGCACGGCATCTCGTCGGCTTCTGAACTCAGGAGATTTGGTGCCGCAAAGTCGTCGTTCTCTTCAACACGATCCCTTGACTGAACAACAACAAAACCTAGTCACTTTGGAGCGACGACATTTTTGAGAGTCTGGTCAATCTGCAAGCACTTCGAGCAAAGTTTTTCTGCAACAGAAGTTCCCGAAGGCCGTGTGCAAAGCCCGCAATCGCCAAAGAAGATCGTGGCCCCAAAAATCCCTCGTGTCAAGGTTCTGCTCTGCGTCTTCTGAATCTTCGGTAAGGAGCAGTGCTGTAACACGCCTAGTATACCCAAAAGAAGCAGGGAAAGCCTCAAGAAACGGTCTCAGCCCAGGACTTTGCGCTGCCTCCTGGCACCAAAGCATCGTGGGCAGCCGGCCGTGTTGGCACGGGGGGAGGCATCCCCAGTAACCCTTTTGAGTGCAGGGCTTAGGGATTTTCAGGTGAAGGACGAGTAGTCAGACAGGCAGGCAAATTCTTGGCGAAAATTTTGACCGACTGACATTGCAAGCCTCTTCATGTCCCGCACGTCCTTCTGTGCCCCCCTGTGGCGCAGATCAAGCTCAAATTGCCCAGCGAGCAAGGACCCCGCCAGTTGACCCTCAAGTGTAGTCCTAAACCCATCCCTTGGGCTTGAAGGCCGAGGGGCGGCAAGGTTTCGGATCCAGGGTTGAAGTTAGGGCTTTGGTTTCGGAGGCAGGATCCTGGGTTACGTCTGCTGCTGGTGCAAGGAGATTCGAGGCGACCTTGCATTCCAAAAAGGGTTTAGGGTTTAGACTTCGTTAGGTTTGTTTGGGGCAGGTACTGAAATGCCGATGTCATCAGGGGAACCATAGTGGAGTTTGGTAGATCATGGCAGATTTGGTTCATCCATAGGCATGGGCTCTTTTGAAAAGCACGATGTAGGGTGATTGCAGCGCGTCATTTACCTTCTTGATGGTTGCCCCACTGCATCTCGCAGCCGTTTGATGGCCATGGGAGACGAGGACATATGTGCGTGACGATTTCTTTCGGGGTGGGGGGGTTGAGAATTTTGTTTGGTCCTTAGAGTGTGTGTCTGTGCGTGTCTCCTGTGTCGACGTTTGTTCCTGTGCCCTGACACGGTGGCAGATTTTTTTTTTCTAAGAGGGGCGTTTACTGGGCACATGTGCCTTGGCTTAGGGCCGCCCGTTTTTTTTTTTTTTCCACCTTGACTGAGGACACCCCTGAGCCTTGGGCCTTAGATGGGTTTAGGAGGTTGGGGGATTGGTGGTTGGTTGTTTGTTGATTTTTTTTTTTTAGTTGTGCAGATTCCTCTCGGAAGCACCTTCCAAAAATGTGCTCCTGAGCCTGAAATGGATTTAGGACGAGCGTGCAGGAATGCATGATGCATGCATGTGCCTTGGTTTGGGGCTGTGCAGATTCCTCTCGGAAGCACCTTCCAAAAATGTGCTCCTGAGCCTGAAATGGATTTAGGACGAGCGTGCAGGAATGCATGATGCATGCATGTGCCTTGGTTTGGGGCTGTGCAGATTCCTCTCGGAAGCACCTTCCAAAAATGTGCTCCTGAGCCTGAAATGGATTTAGACGAGCGTGCAGGAATGCATGATGCATGCATGTGCCTTGGTTTGGGGCCGCCCGTGTTTTTTTTTTTTTTTGCCACTGTGTGTGTGTGTGGGGTGTTGTTGTTGATGGAGGGTCTTGGTTGCTTCTGGTGGTGCTGCACGTGTGCGCCTTGACTAAGGACACTCCTGAGCCTTGGATGGTTTGGGATGCGCGAAGTTTGGTTGTTGGTGGTCGGTTGGTTTGTTGTTCGTTTTTTTTTTTTTTCTCTTCCGGGCCAATGCGTGGTCGCGTTTCTGTGGTGTGTTTGTTGTTTTCGGGTCTTGGTTGTTTAACTGTACTTCACGCATGCGCCTTGACTAAGGACACCCCTGAATCTTGGCGGGGGTTGGGATGTGTTGGGTTTGTTTGTTGGTTGTCGGTTGGTCAGCTGTTCGATGTTTCGTAGCGTGCATGCGTGGTTTTGTGTCTTGGGTGGCTGTTTACTATACCGCACGCGTGCGCCTTGACTAAGGACACTCCTGAATCTTGGAGGGGTTTGGGATGTGTCTGGTTTGATTTTGGTTGGCAGTTGGTCTGTTGTTCGATGTTTCGTCGTGTGCGTGCGTGGCTTTGGTGGCTGTGAGTCTTGGTTGTTTGCTGAGTTACTGCACGTATGCGCCGAGGCTAAGGACACTCCCGAGCCTTGGAAGGGTTTGGGATGTGTGGGGATTGGTTGCTGGTTGTCAGTTGGTCCGTTGGTTGCTGTTTCGTCGCGTGTATTGTGTGCAGACCTACTGCACGCATGCGCCTTGACTAAGGACACTACTGAGCCTTGGATGATATGTGGGAGTTGGATGCTTGTCGTCGGTGTTTCTGTGGTTCGCTGTTGCTTCGTGGGCGTGCGTGGTTGTGTGCTTGTGGCGCGTTGCTTTTTGCACGTCTGGATTGTTTACTGGGCTGCTGCACGCATGCGCCTTGACTAAGGACACTCCTGAGCCTTGGATGGGTCGAGGATGTGTGGGGATTGGACGTTGCTTGTTGTTGTTGTTGTTTTTTTTTTTGTTTGCTGTTTTCGTGGTGTGCGTTCGTGGTTGTGTGTGGTGTGTGTTGTGTGAGATGTGCTACCGCACGCGTACACCTTGACTGAGGAGACCCCTGAGCCTTAGATGGGTTAGGAGGTGGGGAGATTGGTGGTTGGTTGTTTGTTGATTTTTTTTTTAAGGGATTGTTGTGCAGATTCCTCTCGGAAGCACCTTCCAAAAATGTGCTCCTGAGCCTGAAATGGGTGCAGGAATGCATGATGCATGCATGTGCCTTGGTTTGCGGCCGCCCGTTTTTTTTTTTTTTTTTTCTTTTCCACCTTGACTGAGGACACCCCTGAGCCTTGGGCCTTAGATGGGTTTAGGAAGTGGGGGCATTGGTGGTTGGTTGTTTGTTTGTTTTTTTTTCTTTTTTTTTAAGGGATTGTTGTGCAGATTCCTCTCGGAAGCACCTTCCAAAAATGTGCTCCTGAGCCTTGGATGGATGTAGGATGCGCGTGCAGGAATGCATGTGCCTGTGAGTGTTCAGAGAATGTTTTGGGTATGGTTCTGCAATGACCGAAAAAGATCATGGAAGTTGCGCCTTAACCAAGCTTGCAGTGACTCATGACGACCAGCAAGTACATTTGAGGGCTTGCAACTTGTTGAAAGATCATGAGCCGCGTTGCTTGTGACATTGAAGGCTCTTGGCCTGTTTCGGTAGTTTTTGGGCGTTTTCGTGGGAAGGTAGGGTAGATCCATGGATCGCGAAGCCATCTGCAGAGTCAATGCTGCTTTTGAGTGCTTCTTACACCAACTTGAGATTGAGCATGTTGGCCGAGATCATTTCACACCGCAATCCTATGAGATTGACCCATGTCATCCCCACGAAGCTACTGCAGAAGATTCTTCTTCTTCACGTAGCAGGTCCCGTTCACCTTTGCCGAGATTGAGGAACGCAACCTGTACTCAAGCGTCAAGTGTCGTGAATGTACTCCCCGATGCGATCCATGAGCTCCTAGCGAAAAAGCTTGAGGACTTTAAGCAGGAAATCTTTGCGCATGTCAAGGTCACAATCCCCGAGGTTGTGGCTAGTCTCGTCAACGCTGAGCCTCGTGTAGAGCCAAGTGCAGTTGAAGAGACCTCGCAAAAGGTTTGGGACTCCGGCGCGAAAGAGTCGCTAGCCCATGACCTCCAGGTTTTGAAGACAGACTCGGCCATCTTGAAAGCGTTAGACAATGTCTGCTCAAAGCTTGCGGAGCTAGGAGGAAATCACCGTTCAAATATCACTGCCACGTTTCACCCAATGCCTCCCATTGTTTCAGCAGCAGCCCTCCATGCAAAAGTTGAGGCTGCTGGAATTAAGGTGTTAAAGAAAGGCGAGCCGAATGCGAGAATGCCTTATGGAGAGGTGGGTGGACAGAAAGGTCAGCCCAGTGTTTCGATTACTTTTTCGCCGTCAGTAAAGCTGACAGTGCAAGTTCACAGCCGCTTGGTCCAAGTGGTGCTGAAGGGGCGTAGGTCTTGCTTCACGCATGACATTTTGAGAAAGCTTTTGCCTTTCTTTGGGCCTGTTTCCACGCTTATGAGTCCCACCAGTGAAGCGTGAGGCTCGTTTCAACTTCTACTCGAGACCGCTTGCACCTAATTTGAATACTTAATTTGTCGATGTGGAACACCACATGAATGTACCATGGGACGCGGTATGTGAAATTGGCAGCGAGCCGTTCCTAGATCTGGTTCTTCAACCGCTAGACTTTGCCCGTGAAGTGGTGTTATTGAAGATTTGTGCCTTGCACTCATTTTTTTTTCTCTCGCCTTCATGAGGTTTTTTACGCCCGGGGCTTTTTACCTTTCAGCCTTAATTGCAGCCATGGACGATTCGATACAACTGTGTATCCAAGAGCTTCGCCATATCTGGTCGGACTGGCTGGCCAGTGTGCCGAAAAGAATGGAGGTCAACGCTGCCCTCAAAGATATTCGGGGGCTCTTTGAGTTAGCCCCGCAAAACCCTGGGAACCTAGCCTCCAATGGACAATCCCGTTTTTTGAGACTGGCAAAGCTTTCTGAATTTGTTTCTGCGTTAAAGGGTTTCTTGAAGCACGTGGCCATTCCAAGTGCTGCACGCAGCACCACAAGCAGAGTGGCAATTGAATCGCCCTACATGGGAGGCACCTTGGTGGACCAATATGAACATAAGCAGGAAGGGTTCCAATGTTCTGAGCTCACCTTTGCTGTCCTAAATCCGGGGCGCTTGGGGTTGAGCCGCATTGCTAGTGAAGAACTCCTCGTATGGCGGCTCTTCCACATTTGCTCCGTTTTAGTGGACAAGAACATACAGGTTTGTATCCTTCCTGGGGCCAGGTGGCCCCCCGGAGCGGAAATTCCTGCAGGCTTCCCTTTTGAGTGGCTTGGTCTGCAAACTACCTCATGGGAAGCAGTGGGTGTACTTGTTGCGTCAGAACTGCGTTTAGAAGTTTCTGTCATGGAAGACATGGGTTCCCCAGTGATCCTCTGGCTGATGTTCCGTGGCCAACGTTGGCAGCGACAGGGTCCTGCTCTTATTCTGGGAGCCATCTATCCCAAACCAGGGGGTGACTTACAGACTTGGCGGCAAATTCTTTCTGAATTCGACATTATCAAGACGAAATACCCTTCATCCAGAATTGTAATTGCAGGTGATGGCAACGTTCATCTGCAAGGTCTTGTTCACCACTCACCAGAATGCAGCTGTCTACATTGCTGCCAAAGGCTCAATGACAAACTCATACAGCTGGAAATTGAATCCCGTAACCTGGTAGCATGCAACCCGCATTTCCCGACGCATGTCAGTGGGACGATTATCGACCTCGTCCTAACTGACAGGTGCCAACCCTTACCAGTTGATGTAGTCCAAGAGGACATTGGAGCGTCTGATCATTCCATGGTTATCTCACGCTGCCCCGTATCCTTGCAGGCGTCCTTTGAATCATCTGTTGGGCGAGTCATTTGGTCCCAATCGAATGAGTGGGATGAGGCGCTAGCTTCGGCAGAGTCCTCATTTGCATTGGCTGCCTTGATTACTAATGACGTGCAAGTTGAGATTGCAGCAAACAAGCACTGTTTGTTGCCTAAGCGTAAGCGGGATTTGCTTGACGCCGCTGCTTGGATTAGGGAAGTTTTGGTTTGTTTTACAGGGCATTGCGGGGGACTTACCCGTGTTCGCGGAGTCGCCGGTCAAAAGAATCGGTGGCCACAGAGAGTGCCTAAAGTCTGTGACTTCCAGAACTATGACCAATACAAGGCAGCTGTGAAGCAATTTGATGACCAAACCAAGGCGGCCACTGTAAGCAGATATTTGTCGCTCCTGACATCTCAACCTAATCAGGCGAAAGCCTTTCTTTCTTCATGGTTCAAGAAGGACCGTGACTTTGGGTATGCTTTGGCTGAGCCTAACACTGGTGCAGTTTCAGGGGTGCAACAAACTATTTCTGCTATCCAGCATGATTTGCTGGGAAGAGCGGACAATGATTTCTATCAGGATCCAGAATGTGAGCGTGCACTTGAACAGAGTGTTCGCACCATTCACAGGCACAAAGCTGTGCCGAGAGGCATTCCAGGTCTTGCGGATGCCCCTGAAAGCAACACGGCAGTCAACGCAGCCCCTTATTCATGGCAAGAACTTGAGGAAGTGCAACGGTCTTTCCGTCTGCGCAAACAAAGTTATCGATGCGCTCTGGCAGCTGCCAAGACGAGCTGTCCCCCAGCTAAGGCTCTCAATTTGGCTTTGGTTAACTTAGCTAGGGAGTGTGAGTTAACTTCCTCGCTTTGGTGTGAAAGACGCATCACGCCCATTCGCAAGGCTGGGCCTAGAGTAGTCCGAAAGGTCACTAATCTCAGACCAATAAGTGTCGTCTCAGACATGGCTGCAGTTCAAGATGGGCTCTGGCTCGGACGTTGCAAGAAGATCTTAGAGGACTTCACTGGCGCAGCGCAACTGGGGGGCAAGTTTGAGACAGTGGCAATCGTTTTAGCGGTAATACTACACGCACAAATCCGGCACTCACAAGGGCTCCATACATATCTGCTCTTTGCAGACATACAATCCGCCTATGATGCTACGGATCATAATGCAATGCTGCTCGCAGCTTTTCATGCAGGAGTGGTGGGTACAGAGTGGTTGTTACTCTGGGACTTCCTTCACATGGACTCTGCTGTCCTCTCCCTTGGTGGGGTAGTATCAGATGCGATGTCTTTCAGGGCGGGCCTTCCACAAGGCAAGCGCTTTGCTGTTCACATCTTCACGGCTTTCATGAAGCTCCTTCAGCAAATTCTTTCTTCTGTTTGCCAACCCTCCAATTCGGTCCTGCCTAGTTTTGCAGCCGATGCTATTGCAGGGTTGTGGACGACTCTCACGCCTGTCCCAGAACTCTGTCGCCTTGAACCATTAAACGAAGGGCCAGCCATTGTAGCTAGACTTCAAAGGCTGATGTTGCAGGGTTGGGATCAACGCCTGATTCGGCGAGTGGCCATCCATGATCTTGGCCGGTTAAATTCCATCGATGAAAGAGTGCAGATCCTGGAGAACTTGGGCCACTCGCCCCTGGGACCTCTCCTCTTTATAGACGATGTGGTTGCACCGTTTCCTTCTTGCACCGAGGTCTGCAAGGCGGCAACTGAGGGTTTGGACTTGTTTGCACACACTGTTCGTGCCAAGTTTAATATGGGACCGTCAAAGACTGCCATCATGCCCTGCTATGACGCTCCTGACGTCCCCTTGGTTGACATTGCGTGTGAAACGTATAAGTTGTTAGGGGTCCAGCTTGAACGTGGTCTTTCCTTGGAAATGCGCCTTGCCCATATCTTAAAAGTGGGAAATGCTCTCTTCCAGGAGCTTATGACCATGGCTAAGCAGGCAGGCTTTCCACCCCCGGTTTTGGCAGTTGCCATCACTGAACGGGTCGAACCCGTCATTCTCTACGCCGCCGAGCTCCTGCCCTTGGTCCCCAACGCATACTCACAGCTGAACAGGCTGCAGGCTGACTGGGCGAAACAAATTCTAGCAGGCAAAGCAGGGTCTGCCATACGCGGGCCTCTTGCAGTGGCCACTGTTGGCTGGCATTTTAGGTTGGGCACTAAGGCCAAATTACGAGCTTTGGCTTATTTGGCCAAAATCAGCATTCTACCACAAGATCACCCAGTGTATCGTATGGTGACTATGGCCGAACCCATTCACAATGGTACTTGGTTGCACATGACTCGTGACCTTCTGGAGCAGTGCGGAGGAATTCCGCCTCTGCAGGACTCTGGTGTTTGCACGCTGGAAGAAATGGAACTGGCCAGATCCTGTAAGGCCTTACGGAAAACTTTGCTGCAGCGTTACAAGCGTTTAGTGTTGACTCCTCGCCTTAGTGCCTTGGACCTGACGGAATTCGCAGCTTCCGCCACTAAGGTTTTGGCAGGTCTTAACCTGAGGTACATAGACCTTTGCCCAGTTCGCGCTTGCCAAGGGTGGGATGTATTGTTGGGATGTGTCCCTGATAAGCTGTGGGATTCTGTTGAGCTGTGGAGCTTTACTCGGTTGACGGGACTGTGGCCGCTTCGCCTGTTGCTGGCGACTCCAGGACACGAAGATACGCTTTTGCTGAAGCCGTGTCCCTTCTGTCAGGCCGTAGAAGCTACGTTGCAACACTGTTTGCAAGCTTGTCCGGGCACCTGTGACCTGTTTGGGGCTTCTGGCCTATCCCAGTTTGTCACACGCCGAACGCCTGACTTCATCTCCATCCTCTTCCACTCCACCACATCTATGGAAGTGGACGAACTTAGGATCCGTTATGTGGCTGAGGTCATCAGAATTGGTATTCTGAGACATGTAGATGACGACTGAAAGACTGCTACGCCTTGTGCGTTGCAACGACCTGCCATTGCAAAATGGAGGTACCGCGCAACCCACTTTCCCTCCCTCTCAATTGCCTGTGGGCAGTTTGAGCGAGTTGAAGTGTAAGCGATGTAAGCGATGTAGTACTCTCCGTTCACACACGCCCTAGTATGGACCGTAAGCCGCGAAAGGACAGCTGGTCACAGACGTCCGGTTTGGGGACGCGGCGATGTTCATGCGTAGAGCCTCGCCTACACTCAGAGACTCCGAGCCGGAGTTGGGATTGTTTCACAGGGTTTGTGGCAAAGGCATTTTTGGACTTCGGACACCAGATGTCCACGTTCAAGCTTGACCGGCACGGCTTCCCCAATTTAGCCCCGATGCCTCAAATGCCCCCGCCATGGCTTGAAGCCCTGAAAGGAAGTGCTTGGAGGTTTCTAGCTTCAAGCCACAAAAGCTCAACAAGGAAACGCGTACACTCAGCAAACAGTCTTGTCAAGAACAATCCAATTGAGTTGTGAGATCCTTGGCACCCTTGGAAGGCGTTCCCTTCCGCGTGCTGCATGCAGCACCCCGCCTGGTGCACCCCTGCGGGACATTCGACCTTGAGGCGGCCTTTACTGAAAGCCCTCCAAAAACTGGATTTTTCCAAGTGTCGGGCAGCACTGCTTCATTGGACCCTCAGAAAGTGGTCGAGTGCCGCACAGTGTCGCAACATGAGTTTGTTGGTCCGCGTACACGTGATTTGGGTTTTCTTGTTGCCTTTGTTTGTTGTGGCTTCTTGCAGATGTCGGTATGATCAAGCGTTCCTTCTGTAGAAGTCGTGGGCGAGGGACGACGGGATTGGTTTCGACCTTTCATTACGCGTTCTCCAAGTATTCGCCCAGTGCCCACGAGTGCCGCGGGAAATGCATGCTCGGTGTCACAAATGTGGAAACATCCTCTTGGCTGTTCCTCGCTTCGTGCTCACGGGTAACAAGTGTCACGTGTGTCAGCATGTGCCAACATGTCAAAAACCCCGGTCCACAAGAATCAAGCCGTTCACCTTGAGATGCGCAATTTGTGCTTCTGAAAACGCACTTTTCGGTGCCACGAAAATACGCTTTGGGATGCGTCAGCAGCATGTGTTTGCATGCGGGCTCTTGGATTCAGGTTAGTTATGATTTAGTTTTCGCCGTTTCTTGTTCTGAGCGGCGAGAGCGGCTCTGTTTTTCCCGAAGGTGGGCCTGGGCCGCCTGCGCTTCCGCGCGTCGCAGCCCGTGGCGGTGATGGGGACCAACGTCGAGCGTTTCGAGATGCTTTGCTTAAGCAACGCTTTGCCGAAGACCCCCCCCCCCTTCAGGCCCTCAGGGTACAGCTAGAGGAGATGTTAGAGGATGTTTTTGGGGAGAAGTTTTTGTTTTCGAGGGCTTCGGGACTTCGGGAGAGGAGGCATCTGGATCGGGAAGGAAAAAGTTCAGAGGCTGACAGGGGTCCAGCGCACACCACACCGTGAAGGCACCTTGTGTGTTCATGTCTCCGTGCTAGAAGCCAACAGTCTCCAGGCAGCCTTTTCAGCAGAACCCGGGAGAGTGGACCTTGGCCGTCTCAGCGTGCTTCGGCGAAGATTAGCAGATTAGCACCAAGTCAGAACACGGGCATCCGCAGAAACTCGGTAGTGGGGAGACGGATCCCGCACGGAGGTGCTTCGGGCGCCTGTCCGAGAGCTTCGAGCGCCAAACGGATGCCTCTTGTTGCTGATTAGGGCACAGCGCCTGTTGTAAATTTTGTGCGACCTACCTGACCTATCTGTGACCTTCGTCTTCTTTTTCTGCGCTTCTCAAAGGCTCGCGAAAAAGGCCCGAGACACGGAATGCGCGAGACTGGCCTCCCGAAGCTCAGCCCCAGTCCCCTGAACCGTCTGGCTCCCCTAGAGCCTAGAGCCCTCAGCGCTTGAGGCCTTGCTCCGGCTACGCTTCCTGCGGCACTTCCTGGCACCCTGGAAGCGGCGGTTTCGGCCCAAGGGGCCGAAGGGGCCGAAGGGGCCGAAGGGGCCGAAGGGGCCGAAAGGCCCGTCACTTAGCTCCCACAAGAATCTGGTCATCCAAATCGCCAGCGCTTCAATTACCTGTTGAGGCTTTGCACGCGGCCAGGCCTGGACAAATGGGATTCAGTGTCAGGACTCAGGGTTTTGGCGGAGTTCAAAGCAACGTTTGGGGATTCAGGATCCGGTTTATTTTAGCACAGGGCCATTGCAATTGCGGCCGATGCGAGTCCAAGCGCTGCTTGGGTTTGGGCCAGACGGGGCTGGGAATCGGCTATGGCTCACCATCTGTTGGGAGGCAAGTCCTTGCTCCAGCCCCTTTAAAACGATCCAGGTCTAAGAATGCTGGGGCATGGGGTTAGGAATTTTGGTGAGGCTCACCGATAGTTGATCGCAGTTCAGTCTCGATCTTGCAGGTCGCGACAGTGGAGAACTTCCTCCAGCCAGAGGCGGGCCTATAGCTGGGCTGTATAATGGCCTTCATGGACCACCTTTTCCTTGCAGTACTAGTGTAGGATCCTCAGGACACGAGATTGAACTTCTGAAAAGACAAGAAAAAGACATGCCCAGGAACTGGAGCGTTTCCGGTCCTGGGAGGACCCGGGACACATCGGCGCTTCAGTATCAATCCCGTTCCCAACCAAGGGAACAGTCCATATTGCGACCGCTTAATCGGAGACCCTTCGGCATGGAAAGATCATCTGGAAGAGCTAACGCAGCTAACCTCTGAGTTGGGCTCGGCAAAAAGCTGGAGAGCTTCAGAGCCCTCCGGAAGTCTCGGGAGGTTTTGGGTTGCATTGGATTGTTTTTGTGGTTATTTGGGTTTGGGTCTGTTTCGAGAGGGGAGCGCCGTGCGCATGCGTCACCCCCGTGGACGCAGGACAGATGCGCAGCCAGTGTTGAGCGCAGCGACGAGAAGAACGCAGGCAAAATGCCCTGCACTTGAAAGAACGGCACTGGCACTGCCGAAACACTGCCGAAGCGCACAAAGAGTGCATTGTCTGGATCGGGGCATATGTCCAACGGAGAGATAATATCTTTCTGGGATTCATTCCTTGGGCCGGAACTCCGCACTTCGGAACTCAGGGAACTCTCAGAGACGCTGCAACTACATGAGCTCCACTAGTTGTTTTGTATAAGTCTAAATTCTGTGCTGGCACATTTCTAAGCATCCTCATAAGAATATTGAGAATCATTCCTCAGGCGAGCACTGTTTGGCCCGCGGCTGTGTGGCATACTGCGGTCTCTGGCAGATGACGCAGTCCGGCAGCGAAGAGGAGCAGCGAGGGAGGGACAGAGAGAGCGAGAGAGAAAACAAAAGTCACGAAAGCTAGCCTCTGAGGAGCTAGCGGAGAATCTTACCTAAGCGAAGCTTACAACCAGATGGGTATACAGGGCCCCCGCAACCTCCGCCACGAAAAGCAGCAAACCCGGTCGATTTCCGGTGCCGAAACGCATGTGTTCATTTCTTTTGTCTATTGGTGCAAATGAACACCGTTTTGTGTGGATCCCAGGGGGTCCCATGTCAGGCTTGGGTTTTTGAAAATTAAATGGGAAGGGAACGATGGGCCTTCCCCCCTGTACGGTTCCTCTGGACTCCTTATGCTAGCCGAATTCCGACCGTTCTTGCACTCTGCCCAGCCTTGGCGCGCGGTAACACAGTGACACGTCCTGCAGACTTTGCGTGTGCCTGCTCGGCGGCATGCCTTCGTTCCTGGTGAATGCTCTTCCGTCGGGGTACCTTAACTAGCTTTCGTCCCAGGCCCTCACCCCCAAGTTAGGAACAGTCTTGTGAGGGTCATTAAAGTTTCCCTGTGCAGTACGGAGTGTACCAACTCTTATCCTGATCAAGCCCCAGTGCCGCAAATGAAATCCGGTGCTTTGTGTGGAGGCGAGGTTGAAGGTTTGCAGGAGTTTGGGGCTTACGCGGCTCGGCTTAGGGGTTCAAGGATAGTCAAAGACAGTGGCGCGTCGCATCGTCCTCAAGCTCTCAGGAAAGCCGTGGGACATGCGGACCGATGCACATGAGTACCACCCCCAACCGCAGTCCCTACGTTTAGGGCCGTGCATGATCGTTGCCCTGCGGCCCTGACAAGCTGCATTGCGCACAAAAGTTGCTCTTTGTTGGAGTTGTGAACTTACAAGTGTTAAATAGCTTGTGTTGCAGGACATGAGGCTTCTGATGAATGTGACGGCGCGGTCACTGGCGTTGGTGAAGCTCGGCTGCTGTTGTTGCCGCATCGCAACTACCGTGTGTGTCAGCACGTCACTAGTAGCCTCACCTGCCATCCTACAAAGACCCTACCGTCAACTAACCCATCGAGAAATGAGTGAAGCCACTCGACAGCGCCTCTCGTCTGGGGGCCTTTTTGCTTCGGAGTGGCTTTGTCGCTGATCAGGAATGAAGCCCTGGAGTCACCGGACGTGACGGCTTATGACTATGTCGGGCGAGTGTGGCCTCACTGGGCCACCTTCCAACACTACCTGCCTGGAGGGATGCACATCCTCCACCCGGATACAGACAAAGGCGGGGTGCGTCAAAGTCACATCCTATAGCTGCCCCGCATTTAGAACGTACGCTGGAGCTTTCAGTGAGGTGAGCACTGCATCTCCTTAGCTGTGTCCTTCTCCACGCACGGCGATGACTTCGGGGGTGGAGAGATCAAGATCTTTGGCTGTCCACCAACAGTCCCATGATTGCATTTTTGGCCTTGAGATGGTTTGGCCCGGCCATTCTTGGCCGTAGGAGATTTTGGAGTCCAGAGTTCGAGGGGGTTTTCCTGCTGATCTGCACGTCCCTCATGATGCAATGACTGGTTCGTACCTTTGTGTGAAAGCGAAAGTGACCGGCGCGGAATCTGTGCCGCCCAATCGTCGTGGCGCTCTCCCTCTCTCTCTCTCTCTCCCTCTCTCTCTCGCTCTGTTTTGAAGCCACTGAAGCTGCAAGAAGCCAGCCGGACAAGGTCCCAGACTGTGGCAACCGCGGCCGTGCGCGCACGCGCGTGCCCCTGGAGGGTGGACCTTATGCCCCTTGTCCTTTTGCCGCCTCTCCGCCTCTTTGCCTTTGTAAAACAAAGCACGACATTATCCCGGAAACCTGGGCGAATGCAGCTGGCCTTGCGAGTTAAGGTGTAAAGCAACCGGCCATCTTACTATGATCCTGCACAGTGCAGTCTCACACCCTCATAACACGCTCCAAGTCAGTCATGCCGCCACAAGAGATGTAAAGAAGCTGTCTTACATTTTCGGGGTGGTTAAAATTGGGTCTCTTGGGATGTTTGCTGCATTTCTTCGGGTGGCAGAAACACAGTATTCCGACTGGCCCATTGCTTAGATCCATATTGCAGGAAGCCTTTCATACAGGGGGTGTAGGGCTCCTTGAACTTCGCTATGCAAAAGCAAGCCAAACCCCTCTGCCCCCAGACACGTTCGCACCTTGCATGCAAAAGCCACTGCAAAAGCAACCTACACAATGTCCAAACCCCCAACTTCCGGAACTGGCTCCCCGTCCCAGACAAGCTCACAGGCCCGGCGCTGGCAAGATGGCACTGTGCTGCCGCTGGCCCCCGGTGAGTGGCTTTGGGATGGGGAGCCTGAGAGCGCCTACATCGTCAAGGAGAGGATGGCGCTAGGGTGACCAAAACACAAATCACAAAGCCCTCAACGCCTAAACTTCACAAACCCGCGAAGACCTAGGACACACTCCGCCCAAAGAGCGGCCGAGCTGTCGCCTGGCTCAGTGAGACGGTCCACCAGGCAGTTGACGTGCCGAATGGTGTAAGCAGTGCAAGCGATATTGGGATTTCTGGTTTTGAAGACCCTTGCAAGGAACCTGCCGCCTTGCCATTTGGCTTAAGAATTGGCAGCTCAGCCGAAAGGCCAACGGCTTTTTATCGCCTGCGACTTTCGTGTCGATTGCCTTTATTATGACACTCGAGCAGCATGAGGCGTCTCCTTTCCTTGCTGTTTGCACCCGCAATGCGGAGATCGTTGCCAGACTCTACGCGTAGATAGTTGGACTCGTCGGACTTGACTACGCAAGAGGCCCGTGAAGTGAAGAAGAAGTGCTGTTTGCACCAAGGTGCCGACCTTGGCCTCGCCAAGTGTACATGGACTGTGCCCAGCACATCTGCACCTCCGCACCTTGTGGGAGGTGTGGGAGGCTGTGGCCCTCCTGTCACGGGCTGCAGATACATTTGCCGCCCACCCTTCGGGGTCGATTGCTGACTTGCCTAGGGTTGTCCGGCCCTGTGTCCACACAGATTGCGCGTGGTTCTCGCCACCTGACCTTTACCACGCACGCAGTTCTGGTCGGCCGGAGCTCATTAACCTTATCCTGGGTAGCCGCGCGCAAAAGCATCCCAGATTGGCTGGAGTTCTTGTGGCTACTGTCGGGTTGGCAGAGCGCTGGAGAGAGAGTCGGCCGTACGCTTTGGTTCTGGCTCGGGCTGCTTGAGTCGGGGCACGGGTTCCTACCTTCATCTGCCTTCCTTGTCTCGGTCTTTCGCCGTCCAACTTGTTGGTCGCCTTGCTCCAAGGAGTGGCGCGGCAGCTGCGTGGCCTGTGTGAGAACTCATAATTACAGGCTGAAGAACTTGGGTGTGGCCGCTTGGAGCCTTCTCGGCGCAGGTCATGAGCTTGAGGCTTTTTCGGAGTGACAGGAGCGAGTTTGCCAGGAGGTAGCCCAGGGAATGCGTGATTAATGAAGGCTGATCACGTGGTTGCGCATCCAAAGCAGCGTTCTGCAGGTCGCAGGTTCCATGATACACTTTCAGAGACTCGCAGAAAAAGGAGGCTGTGTGAGCTAGCTTGTCATCCCTGTGGCATAGTTAAGGGATGTTAAGGCTTGGAGAACATGGGCTCCCTGCAGCCCCCCCATGGCACCCCTGCGGTTCCTTATGAACAGGGTTCCTGGAAGGTGGAGCCCGTGCAGTGGGGCTCCCGTAAAAGCCTCTTCTATTGGTTCACCTGCAAGGACTGCTCAGATCTCATTGAGGAGTCTTTTTCAAGATTTCGCTGTTTGGGATAGGACATGTGCAATACACGGCAAGATGCATCGAAGTTCGTGAAAGGACACGGGGCTGCACTGATAGCTTCACAAGTCGTCATGTCATGCAGGACACGCCAATGGGTTTTTAATGGCAATTCTTGCGAAGCAAGCTTAGCCATCAGCTTGTGTGCAGTAGCTGTCCTTGCCCTTCACCGCTCATGCTGTAACCTTGCTCTACATTTGGGATCCCACTGGGAAGCCCCCATTAGAGCTGAGAGTGGACCACCTCAAGCTCCCCAAACCTACGCCTCCGAAACCCATTCTGGCCCCGTCAAAGACCAAGTCAGTACACACCAAGTACCGCCAATCGAAGCCGAAGCGGAATCCTGACTCCGAAGCTTCCACTTTGCAGGAGCCGCTGCAGGATCAGGCGGATTGAGGGCTCTGGTCACGGTGCATGTCTGACAGAGTAGGGCTCATCTGGCAAATGGCCCTGAAAGCCTTAGCTTCTGGACTTTGGGTTTAAAGTGATGCCAGTGCAGAACTTCCTTCACCAGAGAACCGCCCTTGATCCCTCTTCCTCTGGAGCTGGTGCAGAGTTGGGGTACCTTTTCTGAACTTCCTTGTCACGACCTGTGCAAAATAGGGCCGGCCGGTGGTTTGAGGAGCCGAGCTGCAACAAGACACCTAGTGAATTGCCTGGCAAAGGCTTTCGACTGGACTGGCTACGCTGAGCGCTTCTTAGACGGTGGCCTGGGGTCGCTTTTCTCGGCAAATCCAGCGACAATGGGAAAAGGAAAGTCCGGCAAAGGGGTTGGAAGCATGTGGTAGTTGTTCCGTGCTGCTGTCCCGGGCGTAAAAGGCAGGTTTGGAGCAATCCTTGCCCTCAACCGGGCCCCATTTGGCACTTCAAGCGAGCCCAGAGCCTGCCCTGGCAACATTCGAAGCCTTCCCGGATCCTCCGCAGCGTTTTTCGGGGCGGGTGGTTGGACAACTCGCTCCCTTGGCACACCTGGGAAGGAGGCCGTGATTTGTGCGTTTCTTCAATTATTATATTTTGTTTCTTTTGTCGGCGTGTGTGTGTGAGTGTGAATCGCAAGAGCTTACGTAGCCTGACACCTAAAAGCGCTAGAGTGGTTGGGCAAGAGGCTAAAGGGTTGCTGGTCCAAGCTGGCAGAATCGCAAGGATGCCAACATGGTTGAGTAGGCTTCGATGCGAATTTGTCGAGCTGTTTCAAACACATCGTGGCGGTTGCATTTTACACGAAGTCACCTTCACTTACAACAACATCGTTTTGTGGTCACGAACCCTCCCGAATTGAGTGTCCTCGCTTCACAGATCATTGGCTTGTAGAAGCAAAGCGCCCAAGAAGAAGGTGCACCAGCAAGCCAGACCCCGTGCTTCCCCGCGCCCCATCGTTGACCGCCAGATGCGCCTTTGCGCGCATGCGGAGGACCAAGGCCGCGGGCCCGAAAAGGGTTTTGTTGGGCTTGTGTTGTGCTCAAGGCCAGAGAGCTGTATTGAGGGCTTTGTAAGTGCTTCAGAGCTACTCCGACTTGGGGCTTAGGATGAGTCGAAAGTTGTTGTGAAGTGCCGAGGATTCAACCTGGTTCTTCCACGCTTGGACCGCATTAAACATGAACCTACCCCTCCCTCCCCACCCCCCCTGTTCTGCGGCACGGGAAGGCGCAGCCCCCGCGGGGCGCCCCGTGGAAGGCCCCGCGGGGAACCCAAAGCCGCGGCGCGCACCTGGGAGAAGGGCCCGGGCCCCCAATTTCGAGAGGTCATGCTGGCAGTTGTTCTCGCGACTCTTGTTGCTTTTTCTTTAAGGGGATGGGGAGGTGGGGGGGGGGGGGGGCCGTTGCATGCATCTGTTGTTTGGGCATGTTTTGGGATGTTTCTGTTTTTCTCATCGCCCTTGGAGTGCAGGTCTGTTTCAGTTCTCACTCAGCTCCTCTCCCCGACTCCCAGACAATCCCGCAGAGTATCAAGCCGCTTCAGGGTGAGGATGTTCCAAATATATCAACTCGCATTTGCTTTCGTTGTCCTCGTTGTTGTTAGTGATCTGTTTGTGGGAGTTGCCGGATGCTTGGTTTTCGCGTGTGGTTCTTGGATGTTGTTGAGGTTGTTGTGGTGTTTCTTTCTGAGTGTCTTTTTGGGCGGGGTGAGCCTGGCCTGCAAGTGCTCTGAAAGGTTCTGGAACGTTCGGTGACCCTAGCTTGCGGGCTCCTTGTCGCGCTTCTCAAATCATGCGTGGGGTTCAAGGCTGAAAGCCGAAACAGGGGAAATTCATGACTTGCGGATATTTGATATTTACGATGTACTACCGCTCCAGTGTCACCTACACTGAGGCGACGTCCCTAGTGGTGAGTGCCACTCTCCTGTGGCAGGGAGCTCAGAGTTTGTTACGTGGGTCAAACTGTCAAGAACTGTTGTTTGGGAGCGATGCTAAGTCATGATGACCCTAAGGGGAGCTACGATGCTGCGCTCTTCGACGACCGAGGTGCTGAGTAAAGGGGAGCGAAGTGCGCCATGATGCGCCGTAAAGGATCCCCTAAGATCCCCTAAGATCCCCTAAGGGATCCCCTAAGATCCCCTTCGCCCCAACTCTCTAACTTCATCTGGAAGCTGCACGTCAAAAGCTCAAAAGCCCCGGATGCCAGGAGCGGACGCAGGACTTCGTGGCACCCACAGTACGCGCTGCCAGTCATGAGGCCTGGCGACATGGCTTTGGGGCACTGCGCTTGAGGTGCTTAAACTTTTTAAACTTCATCCAGCATGTGATTTTGTGAGATGATTTGTAAGAGCTTGTCTGGAAATTCCCTGGTGCTCAGGTGATAAGAGCAGTTTTGAAGGGTCTCTGCGAGTCCTTGAAGATGCCCGAGGACTTGGTGGCCACATAAAGTGGGCCACGTAAAGTGGGCCACTTTGTGGGGCTTCAGGGCTGCCCTGCAACCCGAAACCGGCATTTTTCGGTAGATCCTTTGAAATCGGGCTTGCCTTCTGCAGGCGCCGAAGCTCAGGCCACCGAGATCTGGGCAGCTTGGCATAGCTTAGTGGAGTTTAGCTTGGGCCTGTTGAGCTTTGAGCTCTGTTGTCTGCCCAGGAACGTAATCAATGCCATAGCTTCACGCAGCGTGCCTGAATCTGCTTGAACATTGTTTGAATCGGTACAGCATCTTACGGCACCAGATCCGACCGCATCGCATATTCGCACCGGGCCTCTGCCGCCGAAACTCCCGGATCACCCGAAACCTACACTCCGGCTCCCTCAAACCCAACAAAACCCAACAAAATCCAACAAAACCCGGAACCATCCCCAGAAAACGCTGAGATCTGATTGAGTCCAGACTTGCCCCTGCAGACTGTCGCAGGCTGTCGCGAGCAGCTCTAGAGGCTGCGGATGTACTGAGTTCCACTGGCGTAATGTATGGGAATGCCCGGTTTTATTTGGCTCGGCTGTCGGATCTGGGATCTTTGAGATCTTGGAGGTGGACTCTGGCGAGTTCGTTTCCCTTCGTTTCCCAATTTGGGGGTTTGGGGTGCAGTGCCATCGTGCTTTTCACTGTTTGCACAGCTCAGAGAGTTTAGTCATTGACAGATATTGACAGTCCTGGCTCCTTTGCCTTGTGCAGGACAGCCACGAGCCCTTGCCGCCGAGGCCCGGGATCTGGGACACTGCGAGACACTGCGTGACCATGTACTGGTAGCCGTGGTATCCGCTCTAGCTTGATCCTTGTACTTGGCTTGGCACTCAACATCAAAAAACTCGAGAGAAGCCCAGAGAAGCCCAGTCCAAGATGAAGCTCCTAACCAACGCCCACACATAGGCCGTGTTTACAAGTAGCTCCTAATCAACGGGGCCCACACATAGGCTGTGTTTACCTGTGGCTGCTGAAGGGTCCGACAGTGAGCGATGTACCGCATCTGTGTGCAAGG